AAGTCCTTCAGAAAATTTTGACAAGTTCCATTTGGTTTTCGTTTGATTGGTGAAAGATTGTGTAGATTTTATTCATGAATATTTTGAAGTAATTCACTTGTTTTATTTCACTGACAGAATCATCCAAAACTAGTTGCAAACAATGATTTAAACAATGCCAAATGACAATGTTAGGAAAATTGTTAGAATTGTGGCCAAGCATTACACTTACTCCATCTGAAGAGAGAGCAATTAAATTATTTCTCAAATATTCATTATGAAATCCAGCACAGTCAAAACTGTTTAACCAGGATGTATATATTGTTTCTATATGTATATCTTTAATTCTTTTAACTTCTATATATATATCTTTAATTTCTGTTCAATAATTTTAGTGAATGTTTCTTTCCTTATTTCCTTTGCAATATGATCTACTATTTTTATCACAGTTTTTTGAGAATGAAGTCCAACACCCAAGTCTAATCTATTTTTCATTTGAAGCTGAAGCTTATCTTCAACATCAGAAAATGGATGGTTTCTCTTTGCTAAACTATATTGTCAATTCTATTAGTAGAGTCTATATACTTGTCGTTCAATTTATCCATGGCTTTTGTAATTGCTTCATCAGCATGATCATGTAGGCACTTAACACTACTTACTGTGAGCCTCTGGTGAAAAATGTATATACATCTGTTTTTCTTAAAGAAGCTGGCTAAATTGAAGGTTCAGTACTGCAGCAGACCCATGCCATTGATACGTGAATTCCTTTCATGTTTATGGATTCAGAATAAAGTCTGGCACAGAGATCACACTGAATTTTCTTACTGTGAACAATCATCCCATCATAATTTTCCAGAGCCTAGCTAAATGCTTCAACTGCTTCACTTAGTTTTCATGGTATCAGGAGCAGAACTTTCATTAGCATCATGCTCTAATGTTGACTGTGTTTCAACCTTATTTACCTGTTATCTGAAATTTTCTCTTTTGGGGATTTTTTGAAAAAAGTGAAATAAATCTTTTTGTTTCTTCCTTTTAGGGTCCTGAAATGAAAAAAATTACTGGGGTAGTTACTATATAGGAAGAAATTAAAATTATAATAATAATAATTTATTACCTTTGATCTAAAGTCTAATAGAAAAATGTTTAAATATGATGCTCAATAGAAAAAATTTTAATTTAAATAAATTTTATATTAATTAAAAGTTTTAACTAAAAATCTATTTGTAAAATATGAAAACAGCTAAATGTTTGATTGTTAAAAATATTGATCATAATTAAAGGAAGTTATGGTGGCAAAAAACAAAATATAATAAACAAAGTTGTGCTAAAAGGCTCACAAATTACACGGTCACCATTCAATGTCAAATCTATTGTAAATTCTTTTATGATATAAATGTACAAATTTATTTGTATAAAGTGCACATTGCAAAAATAATTTTTAAAAAATTCAATGGCCCGACACAGGGTCCAAGGTGACAGCCCTGATTTTGAGTAATACTTGCTACAGCTAAGTAGTCGCCGCCGACAAAATTTGAACCCCACCTCCAAAAACTAATCTTGGCTATGCTGCTGTAATTGCATATTAAACTTTATTCAATCATCTGAATTTATATCCTCAACTGATTATGTGACTACAATTTGTAGACAATTTATTTTAAAATTAGCAGTTTGTTCAGGTTGCAGCTAGCAACAGGTTTGCTAAGCTCATAAAATTAGAAGACGCACGTGTTTGTCTCACAATGCGTACAAACGGCCCGCTACAGACTGGTGACGCCCGACGCGAGTATTATTTTCTGCAATAACATGAAACACACAAAACTATATATGTACAGACTCAAACACTTACACACTGTTTTCAAACCGAGGGCCAACGAAGAAAAACATCGACAAAAACTTTTTCGTACCCTACCAAGCACAGTGGACACTTAAACTAATTAAACTATTAACGAAAACAATTTACAGCTACAAATTTGTGGTTAATCCCTATGAATGCGCAAAAATCACAAAATTCCAATTACTACGACATATCTACGCAATTCATGATGTTGTCCATCTCTGCAAATAGATTTTTTGCAACACGTGGGACCCGTAAAAAATAGCTATGCGCTTTTCAATTACTGCTATGTTGGTCCATTCAGTAGTCAAACTACACAATCCTCTTCCCTACTTTTCCTTTTTACTTGACCCTGCAGTACACGCCGACATTTTGTGTCAATATATAGACTTTGTAGTCATTGGAATATATCGACTCTGGCAAACAACACCATTATGCTCAATTTGATCTCAACCGGCAGACATCTTTAAAATTTATTTTTGCTTCGATAAAACGAAAATTGAAGTGTGACACTTCAAAAGCGATTTACTGTCCTTTTATTATCACTTTTCAATGATGCAACACACGAAGTATTTGCAAGTTCGATATACAATCGACAAGAACAGCAAATTTTCTTTAAAGGTCTAAATTTGAATTCGACACTCGGTCAAGTCAGTTATGTGCATGTGCCATGCGTGATACACACTTAGGCGATCATGTATCTTTCGATACATGACTGATATTTTCCCGCAGTAGGTTGCCATTTTTTCTGCAGTAGACCAGTTGCCATCCAAGTCTATAGAACCCAGTCTGTCCTGCTAGTTACCCATAGCTGGGGAGAGAAGAAAAGGATTCATACCTTTCCCAATGGTATTTGCACACAAGTGAATGTAATGGATTCGACTGGAATTCGAACTCGGCTCTCCGATTCCTCAATCCGAGCCACTATCTATAATAATTTTAATTCAGCTCAAGTTTAACACAAAGCTGACTCTATTAAATGTTGTGCGCCAACTTCATGCATAGCAAACAAGCTCTTTCTCAAAACCCTTCTAATGGAAAAGATTCAATAATTGGACAACAAAACCAATTCAACGTGGAACATTGGAAAAAGACAAAATTTTAATAGCCAACATGGTTCGCTACCGCCGCAGTTTTCAGAGCGTGCTATGTTCAACTAGAAAATAAGACAGCACCTTGATGACAGCCCAAATACAATTCGTTGAATCACGCATCAGTTACGCTTCCTACACATTTTATTTTTTTAAAGCTTCCAAGAAATTTACATATTTGGCAGAAAAAAAATTTTCTACCACCGAATGGGAGAGTATTGTCGGAGTTACCTTCTTAATTTCCTAATTTTGAAACCGCTACTTGGGGACGCTCTCAATTGACAATATATACTCGGCAAGACCTCGCCTCGTTCTCTTTTCTTCCCACTATTCAGCTGATATATCACAATGTAAATCTCTAGTGATGATTTGCGTCTTCCCTTTGAGGTGGGGGCGCCATGTGTTTCCTTCGGGAAACATGCATGAACATTACCTACACGCATACATACATACGAACATTCACATTCACTTACACATAATTTGACCACAAACTTTCTACGTTCATTCATACACACTAATTATCGTCTTTGTCAGTTGTAACCCTATATACATATACCTGTTTGTACATATATATGCCGGCCTTTGTTGTTTTCTTCACATTTTTCTTTTACATTTCTTTTGGCAGGCTCATACTTTGGGAGAGTCTGCCATTTTTGTAGTGGGATCATTGCACTACAGTCACCAAAATGCCACTTTTATTCAGTGAAAATCCTACACTAAAATTTATATTTACAATTTTTGTAATAAAGAATATATGCAAAACTAAACAAAATTGTTAGTATTTGAGTGACTACAAAAATCTAAATGCAACAGAAAGTTTCAGTTAATTAGGAAAAACAATACAAGACTAAAAATAGAAAAAAAATACTTTGAAAATGTCTCACATCCACCAGGGAACTGAGAAATCTGCCACATAATTGAAGGGAGGGATGGGGCATAAAACAAAAATGCAGGTGACAAAAATAAACGGACTATACGCTTACATACTCTAGCTAATTAAACTGAAAAAGCCGAAACTGAAAAAACTCTCTTAAGCCAGATTGGAATGACTAATGCTTTAAGCTAGAGACTCAATATCCTTTTTCCTAAGGAGTCTCCAACATCCACTCTAGGTCAGTACCTCTCACTCTTCTTATCAAGTACAAAACTCTCACCGACTTTTTGCCAAAATTGAATGAAGAGTTGCATCCTATCCGCTCTGGTAGAACTTCTTACCTCCATGAAATTCCTGTCTCGTTTTCACACTACGATTCACATAATGCTGAGCAGACGCAAGAGCACGTAGTACTGATCCTTTTTCAAAGAAGATACGACATTGGCACAAATGGAACTGGATTTTAGCACAAATAACTTTCCAGGACGCAGGCCTTGTAGTCTTCAATCAACTCGCACAGTGGGCACATGACCCCACAGTGAAAGAAGGCATGTCTAATAGACTCCTCCAAATCACTGTAGCACATACATTTGGACAAACACACCTGCCTTGCTATGAAAAGCTTTTTGCCGACCTAAAGGGCTGCTCAAATAATCAGCCACGTGAATAATGAAAGATTCATCGTTATTGAGGAATCCCCCCCCCCTGCCCGGGGGATGCAAATGAAATGAAACAAAACTCTTGCTTCATAAGGCTGAGCTCGCCAATCAGACCATCTTTAGCACTTAGCCAGTTTTGTCAACATTTCTTTCTTTTTCCTTTCGCTATTAATTTGCCCACTGGTAAAAATAGACCCAAAATTTTGCTCATGATTCAAGTCATGTAAGAGTTGCCTCCCCTCAACGATTATTTGAGATCTTCTTCCCAACTTGCTGACTTCCGTTTTGGTGCCATTATTTTTAAATTAACAAGGAACCAAATTCTATGTGTACGAATTATTTTAATAAAACTTGATCGCCAGACAAATTATCGTTATTAGCCACATCCATCATGAATTATTTTACGTATCACCAAAATTAGAGCCAGAACAAAATTTAAAATACATTTTTTTAAATAATTTAAATGAAATGCCTCCTATTTCGTAAAATTTTGGTTTTAAAGGAAACTATTAATTATTTCCCCTGATTCCCTATCCACAAGCCAAACTTTTACTACGCTAACTATGTGTGCCTTATCCTTTTTTGTTTCATACTTTCCCTCTCGTTCATTAAATTCTCGTAATACTGTGGCGCTTTCGATTTTATTATTGAACATTTCTTAAAACTATGTTTCGCCTTGAATTGTATCTGATAATTACTGTTTGTTTTTTTTTTTTCATGACAATATTAAAATAGTTTTAAAATAAATAATTACTGGTTGTAATTTGGGAAAATAGTTCATAAAGCAAGACTACTAGCTCTGTAGGAGTGATCGCACTTCCTTTTTTTAAGGGTAACTTACACACTATTAAGCTTCGGCTATTAATTTTTATTTATTATGCTATTTATGTTTATTTCAAGGAAAAAATTTAAAATTGATTTTTAACTTAAGTCATAACAAAATATATTTGCTCATCTCCGTAAGGTCAAGGTCTTTTAATAAAAACTTTAAAATAAATTCTTCCACATAGTTTGTTTAAAAATTGTATATACTTTGAAAAATATATGGACAAAGAAAGTTATGTGTTTTATTTAAACGTAAAGTTTTAATTATTTTAAATGAACATATTTCGGTTAATTTCGATAATTTCCTTCGTTATTGCCTTACGAGATCGGAAGTGACTAAATTTTATAGAAAGTTTCACCAGAGAGAACAAAGCCGTCCGTCTCTTCCAACGTACGTATCTCTTCACGTATGTTTTTTTTTGTTCCCACAGCAACGTTAAGCTAAAAAAAAAGAAGTCATGTTTGCACAGAATAGAACTTTTTCCTTGAAAAAAAAAAGCTTGTTTAATGTTACAGTAGCAGTAGCAAGAATCGTCACAAACAACAATATGCAAAAGCAAAATATTTATTATGGTTTTCTTTTTTTAAATTACTCGATATTCGAATATTTTACTTTTAAAGTTATTATTCTTTTACTTTCAGTTTAATTTTTAAAAAGTTACTTTTTTGAAAACTCTTGCAATGAATACTTAAAGAAAAACATACGGGGTCGTCCGAAAGTCTTGTCACACACACAAAAAGTAATGAGAACATAATAAGTAACAGTGAGTAATAAAGTACATGTTGTACTGGATTCAGTTTATTCACTTTCATTGACGCTAAACACATCGAGAAGGTCTGTATGAACACCATCATTTTCGTAGCTGCCATCTGAAATAGAAAATTATATCGTAGGGGTGATAAGATTTTCGGACAACCCTGTACTTATTTTTTTCTACTCAAAATATTTCTCGAAGTGAAAGTTTAAAAACTAACGTTAAAGGTAATTTTAAAAGATTGGCTTGTTAAATAATTTTAAAACGTTTTTTTTCCTTCTCAATTTTTTGTTTTTTTTTTGTAAATGAGACAACGTGAAAATTTCGGCGATTTATTTTTATCGTTACATTCTGATCAGAGCTGTGACAGCCTTTTTATTTTTGTCATATTGAAGAAGTTATTTTAAAACAACACAAAATTTATGGAAATCAGTTGTAATTTTTCTGGATGACAGTTTAAAAAATAGCGTCGTAATTTCATGTATTTGATCACAATGAATAAACAAACTTTCATATTTGTTTTTTTTATTCATAGAACTGAAAAGAGGTATTTCAAAAAATAATTCAATTTTTTTTTTTTTATTAGCGACTCTTTCTTAGTCGTCTTTTATCGCAATGTAATTCTCTTTATTAAAAATCTTCCAAAAATATACTTTTCTAAAATTTTATTTGAGGAATACTAATTTTAAAAAAGGTATTTGAAACAAATATTATTTGCTTTTTAAAATATCACAGAAATGCATTTTTTAACCTGACAATTGAGTAGCTGTTTAAGGGGCTGGCGTGTTTGACAGCTTTTTAATGTTCTACGGTGGCTTTAGGCGTTAAAAATGTAATTGAATTAGGGTCCTCCACTAATTCGGTATAAATTTTCGATACCTAAGGTTTAAATTGAATTTTTAAAAATGAAAAAGAATTTTTGAAGATTTCATTTTAGCTTTAATTGAAAGCTAAATTAAATGTATTCCAGTAAGAAAAATCTTCTGGTGTATTTAAAATAGAAATGATATAGATTGGAATGTCAAATATTTGCTCGATTTTAAAAAAAAAAAAAAAAAAAAAATTTTAAAAGCGGTCATTTTATTAATTTTAAGAAATTTGTAAACAAAACAAAATTATCGGTTTTAAAAATTTTCCAAAAATAAAATATATGACACGTTATTTGAGTAAAATTAGCAAGTTTAAAGTTAAATTAATGTGATTTGAAAAACATTATTTATAGCATTAAAAAGAAATATACAAGTATTTCTTAATGACAGTTCCTGTTTTCTTTGATTTTTATTGACATATCGATAAGTTTCAAGGTGATGACAGATAGTATGGATGACCAGAAATGACATAAATTTACAAAATCTAAATGAAGGCATATTTTTTGTTACCTAGTAATTTTTACAAAATAACATATTTTCAGCATTTATTTAAATTTTTTCATTGACTTTTAGTTACGTTTGAAGATGTTTTATGAAAAAATAAAAAAATTTAAAGTACTATAAAAATTTCTTAAATTAATTTTAAATTATCATAACAGATGAAATTAAAATAAAGATAAAATAGGAAGAAAATTAATACTTGAAATTTTTTATGATAATTAAAATATTATTTAATCATTAATAGTTAATAAATCTTAATTAACATTAGCTAAAAACATTTTTCTATTTTCTTCAATTCAAACACATGACCTTTTCATAATAATGACATGTGCCTAAACATGTCATAGATGAAAAACGGAACAATTAAAGTGAAAAAATAAAATTAAAAAATCATTTTAAAAATAGAATAGTAAAACAATGTTTATTAATTTTTTCAATTTTGGATTTATAAATTTCATTACCACTTAATTACAATATTACATCAAGGAAATAGAGTAATACAGAATTTTAAACAAATTGTAAACTATTATAAATTATTATAATTAAAATTAAAAGAAAAATGAAAAATTCTCGTAAAAATTCATTATTCATTGAAAAGAATTTATTTCTTCAGACAATAGTATCCTTAATATAACTTATTTACAAAAGCAAATGCTTTTCTAATTAAATAATGTCATAGTTTCATTACATTTTTGTAGTTTACTATTTGGAGCAGATTTTCATTTAGAATAGTAAAAGTTTGAAAAAACAAAAAAAAAAAAACCTTTGATGATTTACATTCTCCAAGGAGTCCTACTTTTAACTAATAAAATAATTCTGGAAATAGAAAGAAATTTTGTGAAATTTCATGTAATTAAATAAGTGGTGGAGTAACATATGTAATAAAACAAATGTTTTTTACCAAGATTTTCAAATCAGAAAAAATTAAAAAATAATTTAATTCATTTGTGAATAAGTCTTGGATATTTCATTAAAATTTGTCTATTATTTGATTTTTACAAAAATTTCCAAATCAATGTGTCTTCACTGGAAAAAAGCGCCAAAAAAGTATTTTTAATTATTACATTCCCTGATGACGTAAACAAAACAAGATTTTGAACTAAAATTTCGAATGAGCTAGAAAGGCTTAAAAATCTTTTTAAAATAATCAAAATACTTTGGTCTTTCATCTTAATAATAACAAATGTTTTGATGACAAAACTTTGTTTTTATTAAGTTTGTGGGCTTTTTCATTATGTTATGCAGTTTATCCACAAAAAAAGTGGAGGTGCCTAAACTAACATGAGCACCTTTGTGGAAAAAAAGTGTGGTGACTTACTTCAGGTTGCAGCAGAGCAGGGACAGGTGTCTTTAGGCAACTGTGCCATGTCCACCTCCTCCTTTATAGCCTCCTACCTAAGAGTGGGAAGGAGTGGAGGAGAGTTACAATATTATAAAATGCTTTCTTCTACACATTTTTCCTGCTGAACTGCAGACATTGGTTGTTAATTGTTCTCTGTGTCTAGCTACTTAATTATTATTACTAGACTCAGGTTGGGAATGGGTTGTGAAAGCATCATTTTCTTCATCAGCCTCACTTTGTCAGTACCTCCAACTCCAGGTCATCCTTTTTTTTTTTTTACTTTTTGTGAAGGAAAATGGATTTGATTGTGATTGTCAATTTCGTATCATTTTTTTTTTTATATAAAGCAAAAGAAAAGCATCAGTTTCTATTGATTCCACTGTGCTGTTCACTATGGGATCAGCTGTTAAACCAAATCTCCATCCTAAAGATGAAGATTAAGGGGAGGTTAAAGTTGTCACATGGAAACAAAATCACAGCAAACATCTCAGTGTTCCACAAGCAGATCTTGGAATAAATCATCAAAATCGAAATCTGCATTTGGAGATGTTATCTCTTTCTAAAGAAAGGGAGGTGATCGAAGTGCAGATCACAGGGCCAACATTCAGCAGCCCAGAAGTGACTAGTGACTGCATGAGTTTTTGCAATTTTATATTGCAATTTGAAAACTGTGACTGGCATGGCTAATAATGCTGCAAGACTGAATTTTTCTTAAATGCTCTCTGTCTGATAGGCCATTGTTGTTGATTAACCATCTGAGTTGCATCAATGAAAATTACCAACAATCTCACAATCTTGGAAAAGGAGTATTTGGATCTTGAAATTATTGACCAAATTTTTCAGGATATCATAGACTATTTTCCAAAATGAAAGATCATATTCTGTAGTGAAAGAGATAATCAGTTACCCTGAAAAAATGTTCGTGTTTTTTGTGCGATCTGCCAAAGAAAAATTACCAAAAAGTAGTCAGCAAAAATCTACATCAATGACTAGAAGCTATGCTATTGTTCTCCACCCCCCCGAATGGCGTGACCAATCAAAAAATTATCTCGGTGAACATAAGTCGTTGTTTTTCGCTTATAAAAGGAGATGATTTTTTTGAGCTGTGAAACGAACACGGCGTTGTTGGCGAGAAGTGAAGGTTAAATTTGTGACCCCATTTTGTTGTTTCTATGGTGTGTGTTGGACTGTTATGTTGGACTATCGTGTGAACTGCGATTTGGCTACAAGTGTTGCGGCCGAGAAACAAGAAATCTATTGCAGTTGCTACTATCAGTTGACAGTCTTTTCTTTACCACAACAAACCTGAGAAATTTCCTTTCTAGAACATCATCACTCCTGGGTGAACCGGGGAGCTCTTTTTCCTATGAATTTTCCAAAGATGATTCGGCTGGGGCCCACCTGATGGCTAAACTTCTCTTCCTCAAGTTCCCAAGTGAGTTGAAGGGGAAGATGGTCCTGCTGTCTGGAAGGAGGATACCCACCTTGCCTTCCTTATTACTGGAAATCAGTGAGGCTATAAAATGGTTCCTTATTAAGAGAAGTGAATCTTCCAGTTCTCTTTTCAATGCTGACCTGGGTCCCCGATGAGAACCCTCACCAAAGTTCAGACGTGCCTCGATATGCAGGGACATCTTATTCCAAGTTGTTTTTGACTTTAGAGCACCCTGTGAGTACTCTCACAACTTGCCACCAGTCCTCTGTGTAACATTCAGTAGAGGAGGGAAGACTATTTCGGCCAATTGCTTGCTGGATGATGTTTGTGACAATATGATGGCATGCTACATTCCTTGGGTTCTTTGGAATCTATCGGTCTCGATGGTCAGCTGAAGAGAATGCAAAAAGAGATTTAGGGAGGTGGTTTTGAATGTTGATTTGAAGTCCAGCCATACACATGCAACAATGCATTCCGCACGTGTCACTGCACAACTGTGATGACATCCAATATCAGTTGTATGCATATATACACTCAGCTAGTTATATTCACATGTTTGTCTCCTTAGCCATGGTTGAATTCAACAAAGAATAATGCCAAATACTTTTCAAGACACTGATTGGGAAATAGCAAACAATGCAATTTCTCACTTAACTGTGGTATTGTCTTCCTTTGGCTTCAAGAAGTTGAACTGTTATCTTACTAACTTCCAGTCACGGAAAGAGGCACTTTACATTCAGTGACCATCTAGGTAAGTGCTGACTCCTCACTGGTCCTTTCCTCACTGACTGCTCCTGACTGACCACTCATTATATGGACACTGGCTGGGGTCCCACCACCACTATCTGTCCACTTGTGTTCTGGAAAAGGAGAACACCCAAAAGCTGGATGGGTGGTCAGTTTTTCAAAGGACCCTACTTTTATTATTATCTAAAATCACTAACAAAATTTCATGTTCACCAATTCAAAGGTGTGCTGGGATGCGGAAAACTTTGGTCATAAATTGACTTAAAAGACGGACTGGAGATGAGATTTCTAAGAAACTCTGGTAATTGAATTAATGAAACTCTGGTAATTGAATTTTCCTTTCATATCCTAAGGATGTGTGAGAAATCATATTGTCACAAACATCATTCTTTAGTTCTGGTGGCTGATACTTTGGACATTTTCTTACTGGGCAGTTCAACACATGTTCAGACTTCATGTCAGTCAACAGAATTATCAGACTGGATCTGATTCGCCACTTGACTCCTTGCAGTTGGTGCCATGTTTGCAAGATTGGGCCTTTCCGTCCCAGCTGGACTTGTCCTATTTGGCGAGGTGCACCCTTTTCTTTTCTTTTTTTTTTCTCCCATAGACCAATCCCCTTTATGTAAAGTATCCCACCTATCTTTCAATACAGTACTTGATCAAACCTTCCAAGTAAATCTATCTTGTGTATGTTTTGTCCTGGATTATGAGCCCATCTACGTGTGTCCCCTGGCAGATCTTTTTCTGCATAGTGGTTTGGAGCAGATGTTCAGTGTTGAGTTGTTGGAAATCCAAGACTGAAAGGAGTTTTCCAGTTACAACCAGGAGCAGATATAGTGCTTCCAGAAGTCAATAACTTTGAAGGAGAGGAACTAGTGTGCAGTTGCCCTAACACACTAGCTCACATCCCTTCTAACCACATGGTTGTCTTGCACATGTTGGATTCCAGAGAAGAAGGTGCTGTACCAAGATTACACCTGGATTTTAGGAATTATATCTGGATGCCCAATTGACCCTGTCTTTAAAACTGACCTGGCAGCCACTACCAAGATCTGGCCAGTGTTTAATGGTAGCTTGAAAACCAGTAACTCAGTTTTGCTAAACAAGGCCACTTACTCTGGTGTAAATCTGACTAGCGATATGCTGGACTTGCTGCTATCCTTCAGGATAAACAACTATGTCCTGCTAGCTGACATCTGAAAGGCATTCCTGATAACTTGTCTCGGCTTGGAGGCAGACGGGAATAGATTCTGTTTCTTTGTTGGGGATGGGGACCAGCTCCACTGTTACCGGTATACTACCCTTATTTTCAGGTTCACCTTCAGTCCCTTCTTTGAAGTATCCTAAAATTCCATGCAGCTCTTTGGATGCTGGTCATGCAATGATGAAGAGCCAGTTTTAGTTGGACAACCTGCTGATGACTGATCTGGTGAAGCTTGCTAGGTTATATTCCCTGGCTAGAGAACATCTGCAGGAGGGTGGATTAGTCATTCAGTCCTGCAACACTAATTGTGAAAACCTCATAAGATGGTGCTCATGATGATGAGTGGAAGAGGGTACTGGGGTACAGATATAATCCTCTCTCAGAAAAGTTCCATGTTGCACCTGTCAGATGCAATCCTGATGTGTTGATCAAGAGGCAGATCCTTTCTGAGGCAGCCAAGGTGTCGACCCATTGTCTTTATGCCTCCCAGTGACTGCGGAGTAGAGTTCTGGTTGGGATGTTGTGGAAGTATAATGCTGCAGAACGTCCTGGTCCCTGCAATGTTGTCCCATTCTTGGTTACAGGTGTGTGTCTTTGATCGAATCCTGCAGCTAACCATAGCGTTAGTCACTTCTATCCAAGCCTCTCCGTGTCCCACATTGTGTTTGCTTTGACCACAAAGCAGACAAGGACCGAATTGTTGTCAGATATTGCTGGATTGGTGTTGTTCAGGCAGAATGATGTTAAGACAGAAAAATTAAAGTTGTGTAGATTAACAAAGTTTATATAATTGAGGTTTATGCACGAACACTTTTTCATATAAGAATCTACAAGCATACAGGCTAACGACCATTTCTTCATAGTCTGATTTTGTGACACTTTGTTCTTCATTTCTGATGTAATGGAATAACCTGTCACCCCCATGAGTGACTACACTATAGGTAGTAACTACCTATAAATGCCTGTAAGTCAACGGACTACAGAGTCTAGCTGGGATCTGTTGAGTACGACTCAGACTTATGCCAGAACTACCGACCTTCCAATCGTAGCACTCACTACTGGATTGACTTGCGACGACCTTGTGCATAACTGTTACCATTATTTTTATTGTATTGGTTTTTACAATAAACCTTTACTTATTTTATCCACCATGTTTGTCAAGTATATATTCCTATTAGCACGGAATATGACAGTTTCCAAGGTGTAGTCAGGTTTTCAAAGTCAGAAACTTCTTTAGGCAACAAATTACATAATGCTGATGAAGCACTTATCTCCCTCTCTCTCTCACTAAACCTAAAGAAATATGGAAGACCAGCAGTGCAATAATCCAGAATTTGTTATTTATGTTTGAAAAAAAAAGCAAACACCCATACCAATGGATCAGAAAACTGCTTTCAAGACAAAAAAATGACTGAACGGGAGATATGAAATTAATTTAATACTCTTCCAATATCAAATAGTAGTCAGTCAAAGTGAGATATTAGAATTATGTCTTTTTTGTACATCCATAGCAAAAATAATTTGCTAAAAGGAAAATATAAAATTTTCTTTTAAAAAGGGGTTCACATTGAAAATGGCATTAAACTTTACATTTTTTTTAAATCTTTAAATAAATCTTTTAATAAAACAAACTCTTTTTTTTGCACTGAAAAGTTATAATAATTTCTTTTTAAATAAGTATTAATTGTAGATTTCTTATTTAATGCATTTCATTAAATTATGCAACCACCTGTTCTCAAAAAAATATTCTTTTTAGTTTTATTGAATTATTTTTGATTGAATTTTCTGTATGTTCACACATATATATAAAGTTTTTACTGAAATAATACATTCAGCAGGGATTTTTCTTTATATAACTATAAAAAAATTGAATGAATACCCATCCCAAATAGAAAAGTACACACGGTATCAAAATGTGGTGTGAAACCCCCTCCTGATAAATTATTTTCCAAAGTTTTTCAGTAAAAAAAATTATTCATTAATGAATTAAGTAGTAAAAATTTAATTTGAATTGGAGAATTTCCTGAATTTGGGCAAATATTTTAAAATAGGGATAACAAGTTTTTGCTTTCATTTCAGAAAAAAAACATCCATTTTGGTGCTACCTACATTATTATATAGTTACTAGTTGTGTAGATTTTTTTAAGCTAAGATTTCCTTAGCTGAAGTAACAATCAATTGTATTTAAATACATTTTTCTTATATAGTTTGTGTTGTTAAAAAATTAAATAAAAAGTTGACTGCTGATGTTCAATTTAATGAAAAATTTTAATAGAAAAAATGGACTCTGATTTTGTGAGTGCTTCTGCAAGTATAGCTGCCAAAGAATTGCAACCAATTGGAAAAAAAGGCTAAAACACTAAAGGAAAAATGAGGCAAAACATTAAATCATAATAAAATCAATAATAATTTTGAATTATATTTTTTTTTTTTTTTATAAAACTAAGGACTTTTAGTTAAGCTAAAATAAATATTTTTGCCTAAAAATGTATTTTTCCAATTTAGTTTATTTTGCTAACTTTATGAAAATAATTTATTTCTTTGGGAATTTTTCCATTCTCAAGGAAATTTAAGTTTTAATTTTGTATTCACATTATATATGTATGTAGTGTAAGTTAAACACTTACTTTAGAGCCACTTTTGCTCTAAAGTGAGAGTTTAACATACACTATTATTATGTGAATCTAGGTAAAAAAAATTTTACAGGAAAAAAAAGAAACAGGACAATATTAACAGTTTCAGCATCTTTATTTAATAGGCTTTCTTTTTAACCCCAACCCTTTTAAGGACAGCACAAATAGTGGAAATCTTGGATTTAGTGAAAAATAATTTTTACACTTTCTGCTATGGAAATTGACGGTAATAAGTGTGTGACCATAAATTAGTATGGGAAATTTTAGTGTCTTTTTGTGGTGAAAACCACACTAATTTGGAAATTCTTGCAAAAATCAGATAATTGTTGGATTTAAATGAAACTTTAGGGACTTATTCACAAATGAATGAAATGTTTTTCTTTTTTAGAAAATCTTCATAAAAATTTTTTTCTTTCTTACATCTTTAATCCCAATTAATGAAAAATTAATAGAAATGGTAAATTTGAGAAATATTAACTAATATATTTGATTTATTCATCTCAAAAACTGATTTATATGTTTACTTTCTTCAGACACAATGGCAGCTGCTATTTTGACTAGTGAATCAACACTCAAAGAAAATCTCTCTTTAATTGTGAGCCAAGCAAAAGATTGGGCATTAACACATGGTAAGTATATTTTTATAGGGAATTTGGCTTTAATTTATAGCAAATTAAAGTTTATGTTTAATTAGATTTATTAACAATATTTTCTCTTAAATATGTACAAAAAGTTTCCATCAAAAAACAGTTTTTAATTGTATTCCGGCTTTAGTTTTCAAAAAAAGAAATATGTGTGTTGTGGTAAAAGATAGCAGATCTGAATGAGAAATCAGAGAGATGATTTCAAATTCCAGTCAAGTTTGTTACATTCACTTATGTACAAATACCCCTAGGAAAAGGTATGAATTCATCTCTTCCCCCCTCAGCTATGGATTAAATAGTAGGACTTGTATCTGAAAAATCTTTCTTATCTCAAAAAAATTAGTAATACTAATACTCACAAAAATTATTACATTGCAAAATATGTTCCAGCTTTAAATAGCACACAAAGGGTTAAGCCAAAGAAAAAAAATCACTAAATTAATTTTAAAAAATGAGTGTTTGTAACTTTTGCACACACCTACTAAAGTAGATTAGATTAAATTTTCAAAAGAATTTATGTAATTATGATACTATTTGGCACTGGTAAATGGAAAGAAAGGGTTAATGAATAGAACAATGGACAGACTGAAAGAAAGAAAGAAGATTTCTCTTTTCTAAAAAAGCTTAATTCTCAAAAACCAAAAGAATTACTTAAAGTGATATTATCACTTGAAGCCATGTATGATCTTTTGACAACTGATTAATGAGCTAACTCCAAAGTGCTAGTTACAAAAACACAAATAAATAGGATGGATAAGATTTGATCTGTAACCAAAACTTGAGAATAGAGTTTCCTTATAATTGGAGTGCAATGACCCTGACAAGATTGGGGAGATAGTGGACCATCTGGTCAATATCTGAATTATATTGATCTGGTATAGAAAATTTTGTGTAAGCAAAATTTGAAATGATAATTAATGACCATAAAGTTAAGCAGTTCAGAGCCATTAGCCGAAGAGTAGCCAATGTGACAGGCGCAGATGAAATGCTGAGGAAGATGGAGGAATTGCTCACACTAATTGGAAAGTATTGGTGTGAGATGCCAATAAGAGAAGGAAGAAGTTAACATGTATATAAAAACATTTATTTTTTATTCAAGTTGTTTTTTTTCTTGTGTTTTCATTCTACTTGGACCAACCCAGTTCGATCTTTGCTAGCCTTATGATCAAAAACTAATCACAACATCGGATAAGGCAAGGTTTGGATCAAAGCGACCATCTCATTGATCAGCTGCGAATGGTGGCCATTTGGATGACTGGACAGAACTTGAAGGTGACAATTATATGTTATAACAGTCAGCAGCAGTCCACTGCAGTTTCATAAATGGATTCTGCATGTCTATATGTGCCACAGAGGAAGGCCATGAAATCGTGTATGGGTCACTTCCTGACAAATTGAGGTCTATCTTAAACAAATTCATGTTATTAGCACTTTCTTCTACTCTGATTTTTTTTCCACTCCAAGCAACTCTTGCAAAACCAAATGGTGATAGGGAATAGATGATGGGAAACTGGAAGCTTCTAGTCCTGAACCAGCACATTGATAGTGAATTTAGTCATCAGTGCCATCATCATAAAGGAAGCAATCAGCAAAGAAGAAATTAGATTTTTGGATACAAGATAAAGCTGCCGATGACATTTTTTTTTAAACATTTTGTATTTTTGTTGTTAACATACTTCTTAAAACTGAGTTCAAAACTTTTTTACTAACACGTGGAGACATCTGTATTTAACACTCAGTTTACTCTTCAAATAACATTTAACAGGGCTCAAAAAATGTCTTCAGAAAAAATAATTTTTCCTGTATTGGTTTTGTACAAGGAGGCCAATATTTTTTGTAATTTTAAGTAATAAACATTGCATTAATCATTTGAAACACTTTTTACTAGTTCTTTCTTTATTTCTTTACTTTTTCCTTCTTTCATTGGGTGGAAGAAAGGATGTGTTAGTGGCATGAAATAGACATCACTGTTACTAAACACTTTCTTGGTTTATTTTTTTTTATTTTATATTTAATTTTTTTTTAATTTTGTTCTGTCAATTAAAAAAAAATCATAATTCCCCAAAAATATATATTTTTTTAATTGAAATGTGATTAAGTGTAAATACTGGTTTTGTTTTGTATTTATTAATTCAATTTTAAAAAATACAAAGTTGTTCTGTCAATTTAAGTGATTCGGCATTATGAAAATTTTTGCAGGGGACAATAAAAAAAATGTCTTTAGTCTCTAACTCTGAAGTTTAACACAATTTTTTATGAAAATTTATTTGGGACTTATTGAATTTCCAAAAGTCCCACCCAAATCACTACATCAGTATCACCGGAGTTGTATACTAGACTTTGCAGATCAAATAAAGTTCCAAGATGTAGAAATGGAGGAACAAATGTCAAAGGAAAAATAATAACAATCATAAAAAACTTAATCAAAATGTGCTTATACAATTGGAAGCAAATAAAAATGACGAGGATGAAAATCTAGATCTTTAAAACAGTTATGAATGTTCTGATGATCACTTGATAGAAGGTAGCCATGAAAATAAAAGTTTGCAAGACCTATCATAAATTGAAATGTAACAAGATCTATGAAAGGAGAAGGAAAAGTTGGCCAAGGAAATCCCAGAAAGGGATAGAGCGTAGAAAAAGCCGGAGATTGACCAAGGCTATAAGATCCCACCATTTCAAGGAGATGTAATGATATGTAAATGTAAGAGTTTGATCATTTGCATATAGATGAGAGTAGTTGTGTGGGAGAGAGAATTTGTCTGTAGTGATTGTGAGTGCTTGCGAATACTACTTTTACACATCACAACAAAGTTTTTCCATTCCATCTTCATTAAGATCATTTAAATTTGCCTCCAACACCTTTACCTTCCAAAGTGAGAAAAACAGTAGGTGTTCTTTTCTATACTACAACATCTGTAGCCATTTCCCATAATTCCATCTTCTTCCTCTATGCTTCATATCTATTAGCCAAGATTGTGCCAAATATTTTGAAGCCATTTTCAAAGACTTATTTTAAATCAAGATAGAAATATCCCACTAGTGTAATAATAATAATAATAGTAACAATAAGAGTAGATTGGGTCACCTATTGCCTGGCCAGTACCCCTATATTTATTGAACAGGAGTAGAGATTTATCCCTTATTTCCTGTTTAGGATATGGTCTACTGGTTCCTTTCTTCCTTTCTTTCTGCCACATTATGTTTTAGTCTTGACCACATTTATAGATGATGGACAGTGATAATTATTTTGACCTTTTTCTCCTTGAAAATTAATCTTCTTATGACAGTTACAATTAAAAGAAATATGAGTAAACCAGTAAACAAAAGATGACCTACCCTCCTCAACCTTTCAATCTCCAATATTTGTGGTATTCATACCAATTTCTTGAAACATTCTCCAGATATCTTAGCACCTTTCAAAACTAATTTAAATTCTTCTATCGCTACCAATAAATTCTCTGTTTCAGGCTGTCTTCCTCTTTGTTAAAAACATCCAGGAAAATCTTCCAATGGCATGATTCTTTCATGTTCTTTCAACTTTCTTTATTGCACTCTGTTAACTATCTTTTACCTTTATTGCTCCCCTTCCTCTCAGGACAGGATATTGCTGGTATTCAAACTTTGATTTTTCCTGTTGCTGAGTCTCTCAGTCAAATAGTGAATTTCCCTATTTGTATCTCACAGTGTGATTGGAATTTATGTTTTCATAAAACATTTTCTTTCTATTTTAGGTATTCTAATGCGGACCCAACATTTTCCCTCATCATCTGATGTGGTCAGTTATGCTCCATTTGCTTTATTTCCATCTGTTATACCAAAGTCACTTTTTAATGAAGCAAAATTAATACAAACTGATTTTAATCTTCTTCTGCATAAAGTTGCTCATGACCATGATTTTCTTCAAAAGTCATTGAAAAGGTATGATTTTTTTTTATCAATATTATTTTTCATAAGACTTTTGCCAGAGAATTATTTCCTTGCTAGTATTTAAAGTTATTAATTTGTTGCATACTCTCTCTCTTTTGGGGAGGTCTTGGCCACTGCACCAAATAAGCAAAATGTTGCAAAGCCCCCTCATTTTGGTTGACAGGGTAAATTCCACAACAAAGCTGCATTCTTCTCTCTCTAGACGTCTTCTCCCAGTTGGGTGTTGAAATGATTTTGGAGTCTGAGATGAAAGAGACATCAACAGAGGGAATTTGAAAACTTATCTATTTTATTAAACACATCAATGTGTAAATGTCTATGACCTCCAATGAGGAGCAAGTTTCCTGAGACACAAAATAACCACATCTACTGTGTATGACATGTAAAAACTTAACTCCCTGTAATCACTTTCTACTTGTCTAACATTCCCACGCTAGTTTTAACCAATCAAAAACAACTTCTTTACTTAGTCTACCATCTGACCTTAAAGGGCAGCCTTAAAAGGTCTGAGCCAGAAGGTGGCAATATATGCCACTAAAAAATAATAGTCTGAAAATATTATTTAACATACCATACCTAACCATAAAAAAAACTCATTTATGAATTTTATTTCTACTACATTATTTTTAACACTCTTTACCCAACCATCAAAAAAGATTCATTTATGAATTTTATTTCAACTATTTACTCTAAAATACCCTCTATTATTTTGTGTATGCAAGGTGTGCGCCTTACAAATTTTTTCCATTGGGCCTCGGTCACATGACCCCTTCAGCATGCATATATACAATTCTTGAAAAACAACATAAACAACAAATTTCTAACCAGTTTTTCATACTTCACAACATTTTTTTTTTTTTTTTTTAAACAAAAAACAATACCGGACAATCCTTTGTCCATTCTTGCTCACTAGATTCTGTGACCCAAGGTCAATCCCTAAGACACTAGTCTGGATACAAGTCACTCCAACAGTGAATTTTGACCTCTCCAATATCTTCTCCACCCAGGTCAGCAGCTACCATCTCTGCAATCCAATATTCCTGGGCAGAACAAAATTCCTTGCCTCTTCACTTGAGACTACACAAAATGTACATATAATTCATTGAAAAACAAATACTGGTAAAAAAAAAACACAATACATGCCAAAAGCCCCACGCCACAGTGTCAAACAATTCCATAACTGAGCCATGTCCTTGCCACCTAATTTTTACACGTTAAATATGCTATGATCTACACTCCTCTCTCACTCACAGTGACACAATATAAATGGTTCTTTACTACCCTATTTCTTCAACCAATTACTTTTTTAATTGCATTTTACCAGATTCACTTGAACAGATCTTCACAATTTTTGCCACCATTAATTTCCTTTAGTTGCTGTTATTGCTCATCTGCCTGTGTGTGTCAAAACTCAGCTTGCACCACCTCCATTTCCTTCTGCTCTTGGCTGCTCCCCACAGGGAAAAAAAACACCCACTCAGCACCTCCTAACTAATTGCTGGCTCTACTGTAGTTACAAGGGTTCCTTCATCCCTTAGTCACTATTACAACTTGGCATCCCACAAGCCACCTGACCAATTCCATTAGGTCATCGGGGGCCCCAAAAATTGGCCCTTGGGGTATATTTATTCAATATAAATACTTCATGGTGCACAGGCCCCCATTCTACTCCCCATAAATCACCAGGTCCCTAACTACATAGCTAGGTGTGACCATTTCCACCCAGGATACAGGCCCAAACACATTTGGAAATCCAAAACCATGCAATCTGAATCTACTTATTCCCACAACAATTAGCTAACTTACTTTTTCCACAAAAAATTAATTCTCAAAATTCACCAATGAAGGTGTGGAATCTTCCACAATGAAGGTGTGGAATCTTCCACAACAAACCAGCCTTACCTTACCTTTTTAGGAAATGCACTCTTCCTATCTGGTAAGTAACATCCTACTTTTATACAAAATATCGTGAAACCATTGGTCAATCACAGTACATCTAACTTGCTGATTGGTCAGTTTCAACCAATCAGATTGCTCTCACATGCAGAGTTAATTTAGGTGCCAAATCAATTCTGATTCTACCACGTGATACTGGCAGATATATAAACCCAACACGTGTGATATTCTCTCTGTTCCTGCTCTTCCTGACTTGAGCCTAACTTATCTACGTCACTTGTACATCTCAACACGCCGCCAAAATGTTACCCTAAAGGAGCTCTCGTCTCGACTGATCCAGTCAGATGTTAAATGAACAATACTTAATTCATGCAAGTATTATCTCTGAACTCTACCTAACTTGTTCATATAATTCCAAACACTCAATACAAACTCATTCTTCTATTACAGTTTAATAATTACTTTTAATATGAACTCAGGTACAACTATTACCTAATCAAAGGGACACGACTCTGTCCTACCTTTTCACTCGGTATTCATGCATGTATACCAAACACTAATAAATTCAATTGTTATGCTTTGAAACAAGATGTTTATGAATCATTATTTCTCCTTTCTTGTCTAACGTCAAGAGTTTTTGATCGTCATAAATTAAATAATAGGGAAAGAGGTTTTATTTGGAAAGTACATCTGGAGGTGGCCTTGTGCCAATTTTATCTCCGGAGAGAGAAATAAACCAAATATGTTCTGTGCCCCTACAAAGGCAAAAGGACGCACACAACTCTTAAAATAAAAAATTCCACCCACTGTTACAAAAATGAAAAACAATTATTTGTCAGTTAATTACAATTAACAAAATAATTCTAAACTTGATAGTCACAAAAAAATTCAGCAGATTAGTATACACAGAAATCACAGTGGGAATACCCCATAACAAAATGCTGTCAGACTTTCTATTCTAACACTTTTTCCATTGTGTCCATGTATGCAAATTCGAGCTTCCATGTGGCTAATCAGCAAACTTTCTCAAAGCCTGTCATCAGGAAATTCTACTGGTCACATTTACTTCAAGAAAAAAAACTTGACAGCAAAACTTTTATGGCCAGATTTTTTCCACAACAAAATAAAAATTACAACTGCAGCATATACAACATGAAATCATGAAAACATGACCTTAAACAAGACATTTAAAGCATGCAAATCAAAAAAAAATTGGTATAATCCAGTGATCAGCTGGAGTCAAGGACCATTTTGTTAGATCTTTTTTCTCTGCTGTCAGTTTTGACAAAATTAATTTTTCTCCTCCTCTCTCAAATCTGGGACTACCCACCTTCTACTTGGCCTATCAATCAAATAATGCCTATTGTTAACTTCTATCACTGTCTTTACCTGTTCATAACTTGCAGATGTGCTAATATAAATCCTTTGACCTTTCCAGTTTAAACTAGTTAGCTCTTGTACACCCCATCATGAGTGATATAATTAAAACAATGCATCTCTATTTATTTTATTTTTTAAACATTTCACTTGAAGGAAGGCGATTAAACTACTAGGGTGCAAGGTATTACTGGGAGTAGAAGAGTCTGAGAAAAAATATTATTAAGGAGAGAGAACAATAAAAGAACAGGATTCAAGGAGACAGAAGATGACAGTGGGCATTGTAATTAAATTTTTGAAGATCAAAGTTGGCTGGAAAGCAAGAAGCTGGAAGAGAGTCCCAAAATCAAGAAGTGTAGAGAAGAAACTATTAGCATAGAACTAATTATGTCTAGTAATTTCTGTTGTAAAATGATGAGGCCTAACTGCCAATCTAGTACTGCACTTGAATTCTTAAAGTTGTGGTACTAAAGAAAGCTCATCAGAATAATAGACTTTACTCACTTTTTTTTTAATCATTGGTTTGAGAAAGTATTTGTATACAGCTGATATATATATTTCTCAACGGGTTTGATGTCATGCATGACATCCATATGAAAGTCTCTATCTGACAAAGCTATTTAAGAACATGACTCTAGTTTTCAGGTTGGTGTTTTGGTTTCATAGAAATTTGCAGTACTGTGTGAAGCTAAGTTTCGTGCAGCCTATTCTATGTTCTGTTTCTGTATCTCCTATACTAAATTTGTTATAAGTGATCAAACTATTTAGCATTTACTAAATCCATATCCTGAATTTTTATGATGGATTCAGGTTAGCAGCGATGCTTTCATTCAAATTCCAGATCATAGTTTCTGCTTGGGAAAGGTTTTCTTCTTTGAAAAGGTTTTTCTTGGAAAACTTGGAAAAGCACAGAAAAGCTTTGTTATGCAGTGGGAATGTAACTGAAGCTGTTCAGCTGTTTTTTCTGACTGCCATTGAGTGTGATTACTTGGAAATAGGTGCTGTGTTAATTTGTGAGTATTCTTGGCACCCTAATACATACTACCATATGCAAACACATCCACAAGGTAAGAACCTTAATATATACTACCACACACAAACACACCTGCACAACAAATACAATTATGAAAATGTACTCAACAGTGCACAAACCTTTACAACAGACCATCACACCACAACACAACCAGACAAAGGTCAGAATATGCACACATTTACAAAGCCAACACTTACAGATACCACAACCTAACAACTACTACCCATATCAAGGAATACAATCAAAATTCCATAAAAATCTCTACATACAATCCATACAGAAACAACAAATCTAGAAACATCTGGAACACCTCTTATAGCAAAAACGGACACACTTATATAGTGCCATCTAGTAATAACAACCCCAATTTTCCCAAGAGAAAATCTCACTGGCTAGAAAACCCAAAATGTGAAGAGAGAGGTTATCTTTTAGAAAACCCAAAATATGTGGGAAGAAACAATCAGTCCAAACACGAAGACCAGTTTAGATGACATCCAAAATAATAAACCTGTCTACATATACACTTACAAAGGATGAAACCAACCTATTAAAATTAGGCCTGAAATTCTGTCCTGCTTCAAAAAGCAATATAACAGACCTAAGAAAAGACCTTAGAGAATTTGAACACAAATTCAGACTAAAAGAAACATTTAATAATAATGAAAACATTACAGATGAATCATTA